GGTGAGATTTGAACAGCCGAACTGCAGAACTGCAGTCAGCTGAAGTAGCCTGCAGTGCTGCATTTAACCACTGCGCCACCTCGGCTCTATATCCTGCTTTCTAGCTAATATAAATCATGTGTCACAGCTGATCGTCAGAAAAACTGGTTCGCCTGAACCAGTAGCATTTTTTTTTTACTACTGGTTCAGGCAAACTGGTAGCATTTTTACTACCGGTTCAGCTAAACATGTCTAAACTGGTAGCATTTCAGCCCTGCCCTGAAGTACATAGAGGCTTGATTGTAGAGGCAAAACGGATCTATGTAGTTTTCTGAAATAATAAAAGAAAACTTGTTATGGGGAAAGATGATGCAGCATCTATTCAAACATCCCGATGAGATTTTTGCAAGATTACTTTCTCAAAGGAGCAGGGAGAAAGTAATCTGGTGCCCCAGGCCAGACAAAGTATTAGAACCATTATAAACCTCTATGCATTACAAGAAAAGTATTATTATTTTCATATTCTCAACCCTCTTCCCATAAGGCACTTTGGGGAAAATGGTAATCTAAGGAAGGAGTGAGGATGTGGCAGAATTAAATCTGAAATAAGCAATCTGATATTTGTCTGCAGGAGTCCTTTCGCTACACTTAATTAAATTTCAATTTATTCTACATTACCTAAATGTTTCAAAAGCTTTTAATTTTTTGGTCAGGTTTACTTATTCTTCATAGCCTTTTCACAGCATAATCCTCTCTTCACATCCTTCTTCCAAATGTGTATGACTCATCATTTAAAAATCCGAAGATTTTGATGGTTGTTATAATCACTTTTCAGATGATAAATGACCCCTTCTAAAATCATAGCAAAAATGTGCTCTTCAGTCATTTTTTTTCTTTTTTTGCAAATGGATCCGAACAGCAGATTATAAAAAACAAAACTGCCAAAACCTGATACTATTTTAATGTAATGGATTGCTATTTATAGATCTTTTCTTTTTTTTACAGATATGTGGTACTTAACATATGGTTCAGTCTTTAGCAAAATCTGGAATTGAAACAGCATATCTCCTAAATCTGTTACATTCTAGATCTAGTATTTTCGTTGATCCCAGAATGTTGTTTCAAGTTGATGAAATGCATTGCAGAAATGGACTGGCTTCATGTGATAACATAATAGCATGTTGCCTTCTGGTGCTGGAGTCCATTTGATGCAGGAGGGGGTGCACAGGTAAACCCACCAGTGGCTGGCCAGGTTAGGTGGTCTTAATAGAATGGACCTTATAA